CCAAGGCGTAACAAAGAAGGCAGGTAACATGCGCCTTACTTATGTTTGAATGCGCACAACGATTTGCACTTCATGGGTCATGGAAGAAACCAATTTAGAGGTTCAACAAGAGTCAGGCCCACAGAAGAAAAGGCCGCCTCTATTGAACTTGACAATTGCGCCTGCGGTATGGGAATGCCATGTCCGCTGTCTTGCTTTTTCGTGTCTGCAGCCTTTCTATGTTCTCGCGGCCTGGCCAATTACCCGGATTGGTCCATGTCAACTTTTGGCAGGAACGACAGCGTCGCCGTACCAGCAAATTTGTTGCTTGTCGGTGGGTTTTCCAAGTGTGGCACATCACATGTGCACAGGCTGATTGCATCCCATCCATTGGTCTTCGCTTTGCAAAAGGAAGTTGCGCCGCTTCCTGCCATGGAAAGCGCTTTCGAGCAACTGACCTTTTTTTTTTGCTAGCGAAATCATGAGTGTAAACCATACTGCTTTGGATCAAGTACGGAAGGCTTGCTACAAGAGCACTCTGAACAAGCGTTTGTTTGAAAATTCAAGTTCGACGCAAGCCGAATGTAATCGATTTTTAGGTTTCAATTCCACGTACAAAGTCTACGTACCACAAAGACCGAGAGAGTTACGGCATCCCAAACTTTTGCTGCTGAGCTGCATCCGCTTTATGGAATACCCAGTGCTGGTGAGACGTTGGGGCACGAGTGTGAGAGCCATTTTCTTGGTGCGAGACCCAGCTGACTATTTGTGGGCCGCGTTCAATTTTTGGACTATCGATCTGGATCCAGGGCCTAGAAATTCAGAGTTGTGGACCAGAATGGGCACAGACTATCGGACACCGGAACTGTTTCATGAGTTACTTCTAGCAAATGGCAGCATAGGTGGGTGGTGGATGGGGAAGGACGACCACAGTGGCGCATGGTTCCCTGAAATTGCAGATGGCAGATTTCAAAAGGCTTTTGTCAAAGAAAAGACGTTGTTGCTGCGCTCGGAAGACTTCTTGGACCCAGAATTGACAACGTTGGCGACGGCTAAGCTAAGTGCTTTCACTGACTTGGAAGTCGAAGGCTTTGCCACCGCTCAGTTGCGCGCAAAGACCAATGTCCAATTTCACTTGGGCTCGAGGGGGGCAGACAATGTCGTTCCTCGCGGAGAAGAACCTAGTGGGGTTTACGAAATTTCTGGTTTTCGGCCAATGCTGTGCCAATCGCGCCGTCTTATTTACCAAAGTTGCCGGGCGCTTTGCAACGCCCTTTTGTCATACAATGTTGAGTACATGGCCTGCGTGTCCGAAAATAGCACGGGTTGCGAACCGCCCAGAGATCGCGAAGAAATACATGGCGCATATCTCGAGCTTGACGCGAATGTGGGTAAAGCTTGGTGGAATGGAGCCGATTATGTGGCTGGTGCCATTGTGACTTCGGCCGCGCCTTTTTTGTGCGTTGGATTTTGGCTGGGTCGGAGAGGACGCCCTATTCTAAGGAGTGAGCGCGAAGGAGGCGCGGCAGGACGCTGAGTGCCAAAATGAGAGAGTTGTCCTTTCGTCTCGCTGACTGGAGGCCCAACATGATTTCTGCCATGTTATATTGGCGATCATTGGTGCTGAGGGCCTGTGCATTCTTCGTTAGGCAAATTGTTGTGTTTGTATCGTGTTGTTAGGTCAGATATGTTTTATTTTGTTTGCGCGCATTTAACTGAGGAATCGTGGATTGCATTCATTGCATTTCGTAGCATTAATTTTGAAGGCTTACGCCTGACAGCCGGGCGCCGGCCGAGGAAGGACATGGGGAGTAGCGGGGAAGAACATGATTTTGGGGCCAGGTCGAACCCATCTTTGGGCTATGTGGGGCGGTCTTGGGGGCGATATTGTGCACATTTTCGGTTTACGTTGGCCCATCTTGGGCCTATATTGCGCCTATTTTGGACCTATTTATATTGAGCCCGTCTTGGGCTTATGTTTGACCATCTTGGGGCTATTTTTTCTGGCTCTTTAACTCTTTTTCTTCGTACTTATCCGAAAACCATGTGTTTTACGGTGTTTTCGGAGTTACGGAGAAAAGTATTTAGAATGGAGACGTCCGAAAGTAATGTATTTTATAGAGTTTTTGTGATTGCGGAAGGAACGTCTAGATTGAACTTGTGCGAAATTATGTGTTTTACAGAATTTACGGAATAATCTGGATTAAACGTGTGCGAAAACCATGTTTTACGGTGTTTTTGGAGTTGCAGAAAAAGCGATATTTCAATAGAACATAATGCTAATAATGCCAGCCCATTCGGATAGTATATTTTGTGCTACGGGCCTCCGAAAACGATTTCCTTTCTATTCCTAGATGCGATTATCTCTTGCCCTACGTTATATAATATATATATACGGATGGCGCGCGCTCTTGTTAGTTATTTTCGGTAATTATCGAAGGCTTCCGGCTGGGATACGGGTTCGGCGGGCCGCCGGCCGGATTTAAAGGTTGATACTTGATAGTCGGGCGCCGACTGGAGAGGATCGGTGTTATGGGACGAATATCGCGGGCGGGGGGCTTGTAGCGTCCGTGTTTTGGTTCGAGGCCTGTTTCGGTTGGTATTAATTGAAGGTTATCGGGTTGATATTCGGTCGATCGAAGAATAATTTAGGATAATAATCCGAATAATATAAGTCAAACGTACGAAGAGGATAATATAAAATGTGCTAATATATTGCAATGTGGATATGGTATTGGATGTCGAAGGAAATATTTCGGAACGTGGGAATAAAATTGAATATATGTTATCGTTGGTAGGTTGAAGGCTATCGTTATTATTATATATATTACTAGAATATTAAGATATATTGGATGAGAGGGTTTTTAGATTGGAGGTCTTTTGGTATTATAGGCCTTAATTTTATAGTTTCTTATTATATATATGTTTAAAATTATAAAAATAATATATATAGAATACAAAAAAAATAGAAATATAAGGAAAAAATGTTTTTTATGAATTTTGTACATTTTATAGTTGATTATTAGGAATGAAAATTGATTAAGGTAATATAATCGATTTAATGCGAATTGATGAAGTTTTAGCTATATATTACAAACCGGTATAATTTTAAGGAGGGAGTTGTTTATTAGTTATTGGTTTTGTTAGTTGCGAGCGAAGAGGAGTTGTTTGTTAATTAGTTATGAGGTTGTTATTAGTTATGAATTTCGTATTGGCTGAATATATATTAGGTTATTATTATGATTAATTGATTGATTGAATTATTTATTTATGATGCTTATTTAATTTCGTAATATGAATGTGTTGAATTTTTATGGCTTATTGAGGTATAATATATATGATATTAAAGGCATTTAAGGTAAATAATTGGATGCGGATTATTTAAGGATAATTTATATGGGTAGGGTATAGTATATAAAGAAGATTATGCTTGAGATTTTGTTTATTGCGTTGCTAAGTCTGTTAAATTCGCGGTTTATAAAGTCCCTTGAATATTAGTAGAATTGGAGCCTAAAGTGGTGAAGGAGCAAATAAAACGAAGTCGGGAGACAGTGTATTCGCATGTAGTGTGTTTGGTTTTGTGAGTATTTTTTTTGTTGTTTACATTGTGAATTATAATTATTTGAGGTAAATATATATTTTATTTTTTATTTATTTTTTTATTAATAATTGAATCTATGGAAATATTAAATTTAATGACGAATAAGGTGATCGTTCTAAGGCACATAAATTTGTTTTTCTTGAAAGATGGCATGCAATTCGGGAATTATGTTAATGGCTTTGCTTCCTAGGAAATTATATTTGCTGGTGTGGCAATAGTCATACTTATTGGTGTAGTAATAGTCAAAGGCTGTCTTTGAGTATCCATCACGAAGTAGCTTCTTTATTAAATTGCCCGATCTAGCAAAGACCTCTGTCGAAGTGATAATAACACTGCTGTTGGTTTCGATACCTCCGCATAATTAAACAGAGTATCATTAATTTTAGGTCATTTAGCTCTGCCATCTTATATGTTTGGCTTTGGATGATTATAGGGTTTCTAATTAGATTTAGTTTGAATAGAATTTATGGTTAAATAATTTTTTTATAATTAAATATATTATGTATTTATTGGAATATATATATTTAAAAATAATTGTTTAAATTAATCTTTACATAACCATAATTGTTTATATTTATATATAAAATATAATTTACAATTAAATTTATATGTAAAATATATTTTGCAAATAATTTTATATAAATATAATTTACAAATAACTATATATATCTTAAAATTTATAAATTATAAAAATATAAAATATAATTTGCAAATAATTATATATATATCATAATATTTGCAAATAATTATATATATAAAATATAATATATAATTAGCATTTTATTTATATATATAATATTATTTGCAAATTTTATATTATATTTAATATAATTTGTAAATTAATATATATATATTATATATTTTTGTAAATTAATATATATATAATATAATTTGCAAATAATTCTATATATAAAATAAAATTTGTAAATAATATATACATTTTTTTTGCAAATAATAAAAAAAATATTATATATATATTAAAAATAAA